TATCCATCAGTCTGTTTTTCATTTTTCGTAACGAGATGTTCATAAACCTTGTGAAGTTGGAAAGCCTATCACCTTCACACCACGATATTGAAATCTACGGCATAGTATGTCAGTCTTCATCTTCGTCTATTCCGCTATTGGTTCCGCTATATAATTGACATTTAATTATTATTCTCCTACGGGTGGCTGTTGATAGATAACGTGTTGAAGCATAGAAAGAGTGGTTTCAAAACGGCGTCGGTAGTGCAACTCTTCAGCATGCGCACCAGGAAAGCGTAAAATCTGGGGCTCGAATCCTAGCTGACGCAAACATTTTTGCGTATGACTCTTCATCATTGGGTAAATTCCGCTATTATCTTGTTTCTCTGATCGTTTTAAATATATATGGCTGACGTGAAAAGTGCTGCGTTTCACGACTGATAGATCCAATTCCTTCAGTTTCTCTGATACGTCGAAAATGTTCGGCTGGCACCTGAAGGATGATCTGAGACGCCCGTTGCTTGAAGCCGATTCGTCGCTGGTGCATGGAACTGAATCATATCTACATTATACTACGATATTGTATAACTTGAACTATGTTTCTCCTCTAGTCACCAGAAAAGAAAAGACCAAATGAAAAAGCGCTCACTTTTCGTTCTCATAGTATTCACTGCAAGCGGTGAATGTCACCTAAAAAGCAACATTTTCTAGTATTTTCCACTTTTTTTACGAAGGCAAATTGCTTTATTTTTTTGTATCCTGGAAAATTGCTAAGCATCTCTTTTCAAGTCTGTCGAATGTCTGAAGAATGATGAATTTCATAGAAAATGTATTCGATGACTCATTATTTCTTTTGATGAGTAGGAGCGAGGTTATTATTAGTAAGATTTTTGAATACAATTCATTACAGAATACAATTCATTACGGTGAACTAAAGGCTGACGTTTTGGCGGAATCGCCATCTTCAAGGCCTGGAATGAGTAAGTTGATTCGCAATCTATTCGGTCAAACACTTTTATAAACCAGCAAAAAGCAAATTAGCCCGCATTCTCAAACGTGAGTCCAACCTATTCAAAAGCGTCTATAACACAGTGGCATCAAGTTCAAATAATGAAAATAAGTTTGCTTTTTATCTTCCCTTTCATCTACCACCATAAAACATATTTGCGCAATGCATTAAGAAGAGATAGCAATGTGCGCACTCGAAGGAATCCGTGAACTTGGCTGAAGGAGGAGCCCCCGAAACTGGAGCAAATGATAATTCATGAAATCGACTGTTTCTAAAACCTCGTAACAAACATTCAAAATAATTCCAAAAAAAAGAATGTTTTTAGCCTAAACGAGGTTGGTACGCCAGGGCCATACAACGGTGTTTCGGAGGTTTCGGCCTCCTCGTCAGTGACTCCCGCCCCACATTAAGCCCTGCATTGTACCAAGGAGGGAGGCGTATATGGTATGTGGTGATGGCATAGTGTACAATGACACTGGTCCATCACCATCAGTCGATGGTTTCGGCTGGTAGACCAAAACTAATCCATAAAATCGACTGTTTCTAAAACCTCGTAATAAACATATAAAATAATTCCAAGAAAAAAGAATGTTTTTAGCCTAAACGAGGTTGGTACGCCAGGGCTGTACACCGGTGTTTCGGGTTTTGGTCTACCAGCGGAAACCATCGACTGATGGTGATGGACCAGTGTCATTGTACACTATGCCATCACCACATACCACATACGCCTCCCTCCTTGCTACAATGCAGGGCTTAATGTGAGACGAGGGTCACTGACGAGGAGGCCGAATTCTCCGAAACACCGGTGTATGGCCCTGGCGTAGAAACCTCGTTTAGGCTAAAAACATTCTTTTTTTTGGAATTATTTCAAATGATAATTGTTTCTAATAACTACTACACGGTGGGAGCTCCTCATTGGATTTAAGGAAAAATCTGGGCTCAACACGATAGTCTGAAAAAGCTAGGTCTCATTCATCGTCTCTTTCTATTCCGACATGGTAAGCACAGCTGTGAGCCGCTGCTTTAGAAGTGTAGGATTGGACAGCGTGATAGAAATGACTGAAATACTCTAGACACTCTGAAGCGCCAGTTGGCCTTTAGCCGATCAAATGACCACTTTTACGAGACGAAAAACTGCATAATCTGCCCTCACAGTAGAGAAGGCGATTGTATGAGATTTGGTAGGTATACCTGATATCTTGTAATCCATACGGGGACGAATGCACGGGCAAAAGTAGACCACTCTGCGTCCGTATAAAAGAGTGCGTAGTTGCAAAACTCAGAGTCAAACAGAGCACTTCTCTAGGGCGCTCAAGGAACAAATCACAATGGAAAGGATGCAAAAAACTGTCACGTTTTTTGGATAAATGCGAAGAATTTGAAGACGAACAGCAGGGAGGCTTGTTTTGCAATCACATGTGACCTCGCGGCACACCACAGGCTAATTTTTATGACCTAAGCCAGAAATATCTCTACTCATAAAAGACCCTGCGCGGTTTATCTACCATGAATAATCGGAATTTTTGAAAACGACGTAACATTGGGGTTTCTCTTTCAAAAACAGGGTGTTCCTCGTGCGAAACAAGATTTTGTTAATCACATTTGCTGTATTACGAGGATTTGACATAGTAGATTTCGAGCTTACTTGACTATTCAGATTCTGAAGAAGGCGAAATCGCCGAAGCATCAGCCAATTATTCACTGCGTTGAATGGTATTCTCTATCAAAATGTAATTAATAAATACTATTAGCAATCTCCTATACAATCTAATAGCACTAATTTCCTCATCAAAAAGAACAGTGAGTTATTTATTCTATGCCGAGTTCAATAGATTATTGGTCCTGAAAATGAAATATATGGTCGTTGGAAAAAACCACTCACAGCTCGCGAAATGTTATTCGTTGATGACGATATGTCGGTTGACGATGAGGGGCTGAATTGATCTGTTGAAGTAAATATGTCAATAACAGGAAGTTCTCAGTAAGTAAAAAATTTGCTGCCATATTGCTCAACGCGCTTTTTATACATGATGATACATCAAAAACTATTCACTGTACGTGTTGCTTACTATTCCCTACACTGCAGACATGTTTCCTGCTTCGATCCGAAAGGCCCAGCGAATCTCTGTTCATCCATCCTGTGCCGGCAAACTGGGCGCAGACCTATGTGGAAATACAAACAGACAACTTAGAGAGGCCCCTAAATGTTATTGTACCGTCCAAGTATGCATCGCTACGGTGGTGATGATGAGGTCGAGTGCATTGCGTGTCCCGAAGCGATTCATCAAAACCGTATGGTTACCTTTATCTTTCGCTTATTGTATATTAGGGCCCGAAGTGCGTGGGAGCCAAACTGTCCTCGCAGAATTTGAAGCCCCAATAAGGAAGGGTTTGACAAATTCTTTGCGAGTACACCTGGCTCGTATAGACATCAGAGCACAACGAATACTTCACTATTACCTCGTAGCAAAAACCCAATAAAGAAAGAGGATCTCTACCAAAAATTAGGAGCTCAAAATGCTCCACTTACGATTAGAACGGAGCTCACTCTATGAACCCAACGTGTGGCAGAGGTCATGGGATACTTTATTGGTTCCGTCTAGATCGATTTTAATTGGCAGGGTTACAGTGAAACTCGAAAACGGCTGACAGACTTACTTTTTACAAAAGTGTTATATTTTGGCATTCTTCTCATCACATTCCCTAACTGTGATTTTTCCTCAACTCCCGAAATAGATGACCTTGCGTTTTTGCTTTTTTGTTCACTGCAGTGGATAATAAAGAGCTAAGCTTACCTATCTGTCGACTGGCAGCAATCACTATTCTTGTCGGCTATGTACTGTTCTGTTTTCGAGGGTAAGTAAAACATTGCTGAAAATGTTTTCTGTTTCATTCAAGTGCTTCCAGATAATTTGCCTAAATATTAAATTTCAAAGTTAATAAATGAGGTTTATCTTAATGGTTACAACCATCACAAATGTCCATCGTAGTTCTTCATTCGTTTGATAAAGAAAATATGTAAGCGATTGTACTTTGCCAAACACAACTCAAGTTCAGCATAGCAATTTCGAAGTCGATTTGGGAGTAAGGCCATGAAATACAGCTTCATTAATGAACTACAATTGCTGCAGATGTCTACTTTAGTTATTTTTCCAAACGAATACCGAGAAAGCTCAAATCAATCCAGAAAAGCTTTATATTGGTCAAAAACGAAAGAAGTTAACAGTAGCACAACGGAATTGTTTATTGAAAGTCAAACATATATGCTCACAAAAAAAGTCCTGAGGCAATTGTTTCCGCAGCGAAACTATCTCCTCACCCGTGTACAACACAAGAAGCCTTACAATAGAAGAGTGACTGTCATCATTGAGAAGCTATCATGAAATCAATGACATAACAGCTACTTGACATTTATAAAGTTTTTGTAAACAATAATATCGTAAGAATTTTTAGAAGAAACACGAAAATTTTCCAAAGTAGATAATTTTTTCACCAAGTTTTACGGCATTGAACAAGTCCTGTGGCTATAAACATGTCTTATGACTAGTTGATCAAGGGACATGTTCCTTTTCTTGGTCTCACTATGAAAACCACTACCGTTGGTTTGGGAGCTTGATCTTTGAACCTATCTAATTAGAAATCTATTTACGACAGACAAAAAAAGTACATGTTGTAAATGTATACATCATACTGGCGTCATAGAAGCTTTCTGAAGCTGATAACAGGTGATTTTTAATTCATGAGTTATTTTTAATTCATTAAATTTCTAGGACTATTTTTGTTCGAAATGGATGCGGACTTTCTGAGGCTTTTTGCTATGATATTCATAAAAAAACCATTGAAGTTCGAGATGCTACAGAGAACACTGAGAAAGACATCTTCAGAATTCACCAATATTAGGTCCCTACACAAATTTTAATAATCAATCGAAAATCATCTTATTTGACCGTCGATTGCGGTGTTATGATGTTTTAAATAAACCCAATGATGTAGAGTGGTGTGAAAAAACGTTTGCGTCAGCCGGGATTTGAACCCAGATCTTGCTCTTTCCGGGAGCATGTGCTAAACCGTTGCACAAAGTAGAGTGCAAAACGAGCATCGGTGGTGCAACGGTTCAACACATGCTCCCGGAAAGAGTAAGATCTGGGTCCAAATTCTGGCTACGCAAGCGTTTTTGCACATCACTCTGCATCATTGGGTTTATTTTAAAACATCATAGATTTTAGTACTACAGCAATAAACACCAGGTTCATTAGGCAGAAGTAATTTATATTATGCGATTTCGGTATCGTTAAATTGCGCATTTTCATGAGAGCATTTTGCTATGCAACTTGCCTAAACTTGTTTTGGGATGGAGCTGTCTTGAGAACAAGGTCGCTTGCTACTCCTGCACAAATGGTGGCACGGGAAAATGCTAGTGAAGCGGCGCGTAAGATTAGGGAGTCTTCCTGTGGTCGACTCGAACGCGACTGATCCTCCAGACTGTTCTGTCTAGCTTTGAACTTCGTGAATTACTGCCTAGCCTTCCATTCCGCATCCGTGTTATCGCCTCAACTCCAGTAATCTTGTGCGCCGCTGCCCTAGCATTTTATCCTACGCACCATTCGTGCATGTGTAATAAACGAATCTGTTCCCAAGATATCTCCATCTCAAGCTATTATAGACAAGTTGTATACCAAAATGCTCGCAAGAAAATGTGCAATTTAACGACATCAAAATTATGCAAATTGAAATTCATCTTGTTAATTATTTTGGTGATTATTGCCCAGGTGCCAAATCCTATGGAACGACCTACTAACACAGTTGACTTCCTCAGAACTGAAGATGGCAAGTTGGAGGTTCTTCCAAGTGACGTATCACATTTGATAAGAGCAGATCTCAGACCAGTGAAGAACACGGTGTATTATCGTATTCGAGAAGAGTGACCAAAGGCACTTCACGATTATTATTCCGTGTATCAAGGACTTTGGATGAAGAACAATCACTTAAGCATGGGAAATTTTGACAGAAATTTCCTTCCTTGGGCCACATCAAAACCGTGTCCAGAATCCACGAAAAAGGGAGAGGAAAACAAATTACCTCTTTGTCTTGACATTTCTCATCCATGGAACAAAGCTCGATAGCGTTCTTACTAATGGAATCCTACCAGCGCTCGTCGATTATGAAGTGGATTTGTCCTACCAAAGAAATCTACCAAAGTGTTATCGGATGTGTGGCAAAAAATACAGTTTCTTTATTCGACTCTTTACAATACCCAATAAGAACAAGGGTTCGATATGGCAGCGCCACATCGACAACTGTTTTATACTGCCACTTTACCTTGGATAATAGAGTCATTTATGGAGAACGGATTCAAACGATTCACTCGATTTTAAACTAGAAGAGCGTACGTACTCAAGGAAAATTCAATCTAATGTTCACTTCTCCGCCGTCGTTGTCATCTTTTAGAGACGCACCAGTGGAACAGAGAGGATGTAAATTGAGTTAACGACGGAAAAAATGATTGAGGGCGCATAATAAAGATAAAGCTGGTTTATGAAGAAACCATAGTACGAAGGCGAACAAATAGTAATGTCCTCTCTTCAAAGAGACTAGCTCTCGTGGGTAATTTAGATTTTCAATGAAGATGGAGAACAACACGAAGAATGATTTTGACAGAAAAAAGGCGAGCGCTATAGATTGCATTCAAATCTCTCAAAAAAGTTACTGACCAACTAACGGACTCAACACTTCGCGCTCACCTTCTCGATTCAGTTTTCCATCCAGTGCTCTATTATGCAGCAGAAATGTAGGCTAATGAGGCACCGTGGGCCGAGTGGTCGCGCTGCTCGTTGCGCCGCTCGTAGAACCGAGCTCCATCCGCCAACTCTCTCCGGAAGTCAACAACAACGCCCTATGGAACGCCACAGCCAGGCTATCCTCAAAATTGCAGGGAGACTCGTTCAGTCAGTATTCTACGCCTTCGTCCAAGAAGAAGGCGAAAAACCAGTTGAATGGTAGAGGTAATAAGATCAGCACAGTGGAAAAAACACTGTGATGAGGGATCAAATAAAAAGCTAAGAATAGATGTAGGCCAATAACCCAACCACGTCGAATTTCCCTGCGTATCACTTGCACACCGCTCGAACAATGTCTCAAATTCAACTGAAGTACGCAACATCTAACTGTAGCCAGAAGCCCGGGTTTTAAAGACTGTTTCATTTTCTAGACCCAGGAGATTTCATATCGACAACCAGTGATACAATGAGAAAGATGCACAACAGATGGAAGAAAAGATTTGTAGCATGGGGTTCACGAGGAAGAAAGCGTTCTTCAAAACAGACGTTGCACTGGCGTGTTCGCAACTAAAGTGAATCACTGAATCAGGTACTATGCTCGAGTCAGATCACCATTATGAAAAACCACTGCGAGGTAAAGAAGTAAAAGGAAAGTTTCCTGCAGTAGGTATGTTGCGAAGACGGGTCGTGCATTTGTGTGATAAAAACAACATCATTATCCTACCACGAGCAGGCGAAACAGTTGAGACGTAATAAATGTGGATAAGAATTCACTCAGCTGTCACGAGTGAAATAGTATCACTCATATTGGAACCACTTAAAAATACTTATGAGGCTTGCCAAGAGTTTGATTGTTCTGTGAATCATTGATAAAAATGATAAGATGAGTGTAATGGGCTCAGTTCATTCAGCAAATATTGATAAATTTGATCAAAGAAGTTCTAGGAGTCTTTGTATTTAACATCTGTTTACATCAAATATATTCTGGACGAATAGGGAAATTCAAAATTCAGAAGGCGCTTTCACTATCATTTCACATCCACACTTTGCAAGACTATTAGTGATCATCAATTAGTTGTTCGCGCTATCCTGATATGATATTACAGAGCAAAGCTAACGAAGGCTATTGAACTGGATGGAAAGAAAGGGCAGAAATTGATTTGAAATTGGATAATGTCATGATCAACGAGGCAATAAGCATTCAAGTGCTACTGAACAAGTGAAAAATTGATTACATGTTCCTCTTATCTCCCTTTGGTGTATCACTTTCTAACGGCTGCAGTTAGAGAACAATTAACATGTGAGTGAACTCGGTTAGTTCACAACGCTCTACACATTTATTGGTTTAATTAGCACTGACTTTATATTATTATTTTAGAAATCTGTGTGCGTCTATTCATTCTTGTAAGCCATGTTCGCTAAGCAAGTTCCTTTTGTAACAAAATAGATGTAAAATATTTTATTGCATCTTCCACGGTGTATAGCTGGAGAAATGTATCTAAACGAATTAGTTCTATATTTTAAAGTTGAATCATCATTTTTTGGTATAACACAGTGCTTGTAAACGCAGACATTGAAGAACGTATGGCAATTTAATCCGAAAACCCTAAACTGGGAGGTTCGACACTTTCTTCGAAAGCATTAGGTTAAAAAAAAAAGCTTGACGTTCTACCCGAGACAAATAAGCTACACCATAAATGGTGGCGTCGTGGTAAAGCTCCAGCAAAAATGTTTGAAACCAATTCAATATAAGCTGATGATTGGCTCAGATGACATCCGAAGCCTCTAGAATGTAGTTCCAGTGAAAAATCTGAGAAACTAGGTACTTTTCCAATGTATGCTCATTTTCAACATTAGGATCAACGCGTTCTCTGCTTTTCTAGAGTTTTAATATTCATTCGATAGCTTAAATCTCTACAAATTTGATACTGTGCTTTATTCTTAGGCAAGCTTTCTCAATGCGCTGTAGCAGTAAAAAAGAGTGCCTTTTATTCGGCTCGTTTTCGCGCTCATTTTCAGAATTTATTTGAGAGTTCTCTTCTCTGTTTCGGAGAGACTTCAAGTGTCTTGTTATGTAAATGTAGAAAGAACTTCATTCTATCGTTCTAAAGCAAAGACTTCTTATTTTCACTTGATATCCAAATCAATTCGCTACTAAGCCTATAGAAGAGCCGCCTAAGCCTATGCACGAAAAACCTCAGGAGCGTGTATAGGAAATTTTGGAGTATCAGAGTCAAATGCTTTTCAATTTTTTTCCAAAGCGATGGAAAAATTCAAAATTTAGTAAAAAAAAAATCGTGCACCACGTGTAAACTGCGCTGACTAGTCGATCAACCGCGTGTTCGATACAAAGCCACTTTCACAGCTTAACCGGCAAGATACGCGCATCAATAGCAATACCTGATATTCTTTTAGCTGCTACAGCGCAATGAAAAGTTTTTCCGAAAACCAAGTGATTCATTGGAATATTCGCGATTTAGACTATCGAATGATTACTAAATGTCTAAAAAAAAGCTGTTTGGGAAAAATTCTCGAGAGACAAACATAGTGATATATTGACAGCTACAGCACACAAAAAGACGTTTCCAAGATAAAATAGAGCATCAAAAGTCAAAACTCAAGCTACCGAATGACTAATAAAAGTTTAAGTCTGAATAGAAAATGTGTTCTTCCAGAGGGTCAAATGAGCTCAGGTGACGGAGAAGCACCCAATTTTCTTTGTAGACGGCTCAGTCAATATTATTACGTGATATGTAACGAATAAATCAGTTTCCCTCAATTTGTGATTTTTGCGCTTGAAAAAGTGACGGACATCGATGCCATGACTGGCTTGTTAGGTACAATGCGAAGAAAGGAAACTTTCAAATGGAACTTTTTTAATACTTAAGCAACGACGTGTCTCTGTGAAAGTTATTTATTATGGGACATAATGACTGAGATTACATTTACGCTGTAGCGTAAGCGTAGAGAGCGTAATGAGCAAAATGAGCGTTAGTAGTGCAACTTATTAAAGCACGTCCTCCCGAAAACAGTGAGATGCGGGTTCGTTTCCTTATAATGTGAGAATTTTGCACATTACTCTACATCACTGGGTGTCATCTGTAACATCATACAACCGCTAAAAGTGGTTACATAGAAAGAATTTTATGAGATTACATTCGCTTGCCTATTTGGTTTTCGATGGTTTTCTATAACTTATTCGGTGGACTATACTTTCTTATCCAAATGCAGAGGTCGTCAGCTTAGATTTACACAGAAACCTCTTCTCAAACGACTTCTTCGAACAAAACTATGACCAGCAATTGACTCTT